TATGGAGTCCTGGAAGCGTGGATGCCCACAAGACATTAAGCTTGTTCCAGTCTTTACTTCGCCGAGAGCAAGAGATGGTCAGTTCAGCAGGATAATTCAAACAGAACAAACGGATCAGATGACAAGATCAACGCTGGGATTATCAGAGTGGAGAGCATCGGGAACGAATCAGAGGGTACAAACTGACCAATGAGAGCACGAGCCAGTCAGCCAATCACCTGGACCAACCATTTATGGTTATCATTATCCTGCATTTTCTATGGTGAAGAGTTTAGAATAACCATATCGAAGGTTGTGAACATTAAAAATCAAATCAAACGTTCATCTTATTTTCATGTAGGCAATATTCGGAAACGGTGAACAACCCACGAATTAGGCAGTCAGCTGAATTTTCAAGCTGCAAACTCAGGGGGAATACCCCAAGTCTCCTTTTGCTCGCAATCAATGAGGAAGGTGGATATAAAAGTGAGGCCATACCACCATAAGAAGTACCTCACAATCCCCGGGGTCTCTGTTGAAACGCAAAGTTTAATTGGACGCGACACAAATAAGAAACCTCCGAAGTTACTTTAAAAGCAGCGATTTGGAAGGCAAACTGTTTCTATTCAAAAGCTTGTCATATATCATCGTCGTACAGTTCGTCACCTACTCGGATGTCGTAGTTTCAATACCAACTTGATACTTTGTTCGAATATCCATAAACCAATACAAGAATTCTTAGTTGGCATGGGTTCACTGACTATTCCTCTTTGCTATCCTCAAGTTTCGCAACAGAATTAGTATTCTTGGCAGAAAAGTTAGGGGTTTAAGACTCCCTGATGTTAGCCAAATACAATTATTTGTAAACAATTTGGTTTCAATGGGAGACTCAGTCAAATCCAGCCGAATCTCTTGTTCATACTGGTGTACTTTGTAACTGTCGTGAACTTTCGAAGATTTCTCAGCAACCCTATGAGTAACACGTTACATCTAGACTCCCTGAGGTCTTTCTATTGGAGGGAGCTTCTGAGAGAGTTCAATAAAACACCACAAGTTTATGGGTGGTGACCGTCATACGAAAAGTACTCTAATAATGACCTTGCAAGTTTGGATCATAGTGACCTTTCTAATGCTCACTATACTATCAGTTTCACCGAACAAGCTAAAGAGCAGAAAACAGCAAACGGCTAATCCATTTTCTATCCTACTGTCGTTAATTAAAAAAACCCTACAGAAGTGCATGAATTCCAGTGGGTTCACTTCCTGAGGGCTTCTTCCCAAGTGAAATTCAGACATGACAAGTAGCTAGGTTAATCGATTGGTTCAAATTCCAGTATCAATGCGTAGAGGGCAATTCCGTGATTGCGAATAACCATGTCGATTTGATGACTGTTCAGTTTTGTCGACTCACTTCATCCTCAGATTTGATCACAACAGATGATTAGCTTCTGTTGGCGTTGCTTTTCGTAAGAAACGGAATGGAGGTATTTCGAGGAAACTATGAATAAGGCATACCTTAGTAAGACAGTATATCCAATATATCCAATATATCCAATAAAAACACAGGTAAAACCTAATGCGATTTCAAACCGGAGAAGTTATGGAGACATATTCCGATTAACATTTACAGGACAGTCTAATATGTTTGAGGAATGCCTTTTATGGATGACTATCCAAAATGTTTCTTAACTATGCAGTTCTTGAAATGAGGACCAAGGACACTTTCAAGACAATACAAGAAAATGAAGGAACATTATTGATTCCAAGTAGGACTTGAGTTTCACTTCCCGTCTTGCAAATAAAACACAAAACGCCAAAGATTTTCGAAAGCTTCAATGTAACTTCACTCGTATCCTTGTGTTAAGTTGCGTGTCAACATGTGGAAGAAACAGTCCTAATCGAACCAGCATCACAACACACAACTGACCAAGACGAATTAACCTGAAAAGATTGAAAAGATGCGGTAAATAATCTACCAGCACCTGTAAATCGATCGGGAACTCGGAATACCAACCAGTAGTTCTGCATTTAGACGAATTTGGTGTTGTTTAGGTAATTGTGTTGGATTATACTCAGTTTGAGTGCACCCTGAACTCCTACAGTGATCTACTGGACATCAATTACCTGGCTGTTCCACATTTATTGGTGAGTTTCGAAGGCAAAAAGACTGCTTGTAATGTTTAAAGCAGTTTCCGATCGAAATTTGACTGGGGAATATCCCAGAAACTAAGATTAGTTCTAGTAAACTTCGTGACCAACTTGAATCGCTGGTCTTGTACCTAACTGTTGGCTCCGGTTTCTATACTTTCGTACACTCATTTCATTGAAAAAGATGTGAGAGAGTAGATCATAAGGTTGACGGAAACTCGGGGGCTGCGCCTACCTGATGAGCCGCAAGAAGGGCGAAACCGGTCGTGGGCTGTCAAAGAGTTTTCAGCAACCTTGTGAGTAGTTTCCTTTATGTGAGAGACCCCTTTTTCAAAGATTTGCTACGGTGATCAAGCCGGAAAAACTGGGTTTTGAACCGCCGGTCCTCGTTGTGCTCGTTACATTTTCATGTCTCGTTGTATAAAGGATTTCTGAGTCCAGGCGAAAGAAAGAAGGCCTTCGCTGCGGAGTATTATTTATTAGAAAATGCCAACTGACCACTTACAGATTGTTGGATAGGGAAGCAAAGCTCTCATATGCATCTTGTTTACAAAAATCTTTTCTTTGAAAGCGTCTTTCTGAACCTTCCCGGATATTCATTGACTGTTGCTCAAATCCAAGCAAATGCTACAAAGCAACTCCACAAATTCCGCAATAAATGTCCCTTTTCAAGAGACGCAAAGCGAAGTTACAAGAAGAAAACATACTACTTGCATGCCTCCCACCTCAATAGCATCACCGTTACACAGGTAGCTAGTCACATTGATATGCATAATCGATAGCTAGTAAGGTGAAAAAAACTTTTCTTGTGAGTATTGGGAATCACTGTCCTATTCACTTCTTATTTCTCATGTCGCTTGTGGGCGGGTTTCAAAAATGCTGCAAGGGGAAAAAGCCCACAACTCTCCAAAACTTTTCAATAGACATTTCGTCTTGTTTTATCCCTGTTGGGAATTACAAGCAGTCCGCATTGCACGAAACAAAAGGAAGTTACGAACACGTGACCTCCCTGATAGTAGTTTGAACACAAGTGTCTGGCCAGCGAAGTGACTAAATAACACTCAGAATATAGAGCCATAGAATCCACGTCAAATGGTCACTTGCTGACTGACTTCTCGATTGGCGACTTTTCAGATGAACGGTTTGATCATCCTATGGATTTTGATTTCTTCGAATCTTGTACTGTTCACATTGTACGAAAGCGTTGCACGGAGGTAAACAAAATCACTGATGCTGGGAAGCTATAAATGATAAGTTTTCACGGCACTGCTCTTTATGTCACTCCCCAAATCCTATGTACGCTGCCTGCAGAAAATCGATTCTTTATCCAAACCAGTCGCTAGCCTTTCGTGTTTCGTCTTGATCACCAGTCAACACATTTCGGAAGATATTTTAACCAAGACGTTTGCTTAGTTGAAAAGCTAATGGATGATTTCTGCCAACGATATCCTTCTCATCCCGTACAGTCTACTTTTTTCGCCAGTTTGAACAACAGTTTCCGATAGGCCAAAGAAGTCTTCATCAACCGAACTTTACCTTTCATGGACATTTTTTGGATGAAGGCTCACGTCTGAGATTGGACGGTTTACTATCTTCTATATTCCGATTACCCTGTTATCAAATACTTTCTCCTACATATTACTGTTCACAGCTTCTTAAATTCGGTAAGGTCTTTCAGTGACGTATGACTCAATTTAAACGTGGCAGTGACGGGTCGAAGAGTGTATAGGTTGACGGTGTTGATTAGTGCCCACTGCATCAAGGAATCGAATGATTGTAAAAGGGTAGAAGGTCTCCCACCTCAAGACACCGAAGCGCTCTAAGAAGTCTCGAAATCAAACATGTGCTAAGTGTAGCCGTTAAGTGGGCTGGTATTTGAATGGATCGCGTTATTATGCATGAATATGTAAAAAAAAGTTCCACCGCATTCTAAATAGTATAAGCTAGATAATTACCCAAAACCTTCTGAACTTGCTGAATACCAGGCAGTTTGTAATCCTTCGTTTCATGACCGTTTTCTGGGACACAATCCAAACACACCCTCTAAATCCACCGATTTGATTCGATCACTTTGTGCATTCAAGCGTACTTATAACGTTATACAGAAAC